TTTTTAGCAGATGAAGCCTTTAATATGTGTGTAAGATATGTGAAGTTTAGTGTTGAACGTAAACTTGTGATAATTGCAGAATATTGAAATAAGTGAAAAGCTGTTATTTCGAACAGTGTGTGTTGTACGACACTATATAGAAGTTATTAACAAAACCTGCAAATCTTCATTTCCCCACATGATAAATTGAAGCATTATGGTAATGTATGCACGCTCCGCCTTGCAACAAGTCGATTGGAAGGTCGTGTCGTGGGACGGACTTATGCAGCGGATCAAAAACCCAATGCAGAACAGATTTGCTTGCTTGCTTCTTCGCCTTTCGCGTGTTAAGAGCATTCCATCTTGTGCTCACACGCTTACCATCAAAGCGATCGGTCATCTAAAACTCAAACACTTCAGTGAGACTTCGCGATCTTCAAAGAACTTAAAGTCTTTCGAACTCAGACTGTAGCAAAACTGCTGAAGCCTCTGCGTCATCAAGAAGCCAACCAATCTCCGGAGGGCTTTCCCAAAGAAAAGACGTCATCCTGATGTCACCGCAGTAACCAATCAGCAACGGGATTCCTCAAGCAGCCAAACAAGGAAACTCAGCTTTTCAGCTGTCACCCAAACGCAAGTAAACAAACAAAGCTTCTATCTGCTGACCTGGTGCCGAGATAATTTTAAGCAGTAAACATAAGCCAAGTCTCTGTTTTATGAATTTTCTCAGGTTGCAAGTAAAAGAACTGTAGCGAATATCTTGCTAAACTTTGGGCTTTCCTCAGTACTCCGTTAACATCATTTCCCTGAACCTGTATGTGTATGTGTGTATGTGTGTTTTAGCTTAGTTAATGTAATCTAGAATAGCCAATAAAATTCATGTTTCATTTATAAAGAATCATTGTTTGGTGTCATATAATTTTAAGGTTAAAACCTTTGCCAAAGATTACGTTACCTCTCTAAGAGCTTACAAATTATCATAATTGTGTTGACCGTGGCCAGGAAAATACATATAGTCAAATTGGTAATACACACTGACATTAACTTCTCGCTGGCCGAGAAACTGATAGAGTGTAAACTATCAAATTTGAAATCAGTTTAATCAGGTGGACCTCGAATTTTCAGATCCGAGTCCTTTTAAAACCTGAATTAATTAATAATAATTAATTCCCTAAAATTAAGTAATCAAAGTCATTACATGATCAAAATTGACAGTCATACAGACACGTATAATGTTACAAAAGTTTTCTATTTTAAATAAATGCTGTTCTTTTGAACTTTCTATTTGTAAAAGAATCCTGAAAAAAATATGCAGCTAACTGTTAACTGTTTTAAACATGCAAATAATAGGAATTGTTTGTTGAGCAAAAAAATATTAGAATGATTTCTGCAGGATCATGTGACACTGACGACTGGGGTAATAGCTGATGAACATTCAACTTTACAGTCACATGAATAACTTACATTTTAAAACATATATGTTTTATATTTAAAACAGAAAACCATTTTATTTACATTGTATTAATATTTTACAATATTATTATTTGAACTGCTTTTTTTTTGTGAGCATAAGAGACTTATTTCCTATAAATTACAAAAAAACTTGCCAACACCAAATTTTGAACAGTATTTTATAGAGCGCCCAGCTTTTTTTTTTTTTTTTTTTAGTCTGGTTAGTCTAGCTCCAGGATTCAATCTCTTGTTATTTCCCAAGGTCAGTGCTAATAACATCTGCTTTAACTTTTCCTACTCAACAATAAAGCCAAAATAGGAGGAAATTGGGCAGTAGCAACAAATCTACTCAAAGCACT